TTCCTTCCTTCCTCTTCCTTCTTTCTCTTTCCCTCTTTCTCTTTCTTTTTCTCTTCTCTTTCTCTCTCTCACTCTCATTCTTTCTTTTCTTTTTTCCTTTCTTCCCCAGATAACTGGTTTTCTATCAGAATGAGATCTAATGCTCTGAAGTATTATTTCAGCAAAATGGGATCCCACCTATTCAATACACCTTTATAAAACCCTAGAACTGTAAAAGTTTTTTTTTTTTTAATTTAGTCAACTTTCTGTAGGCAATTACATAATGTGAGCAGGCATTATATGACTTGGTGCTTTACATTCGAAGAAAGTTCAAAAATTTTCCTCTTTTGGAGAGTTTTCCTTTTTTTCTCAAGAGATCTGGGTAATACTGATGTATTTAGTGTATGTAAATCCTAGAAAAGCACATATATAAAAATGTAAGTTTCCTTTTCTTTTAATCAAGACTCCTGTCTTTTTTTTTTCTTAGTGCTATTCATCAACAAAATGGCCAAGTCTGGCCTTAAGGGAATGTTATTCAAAGTTTTGGGAGATTTGAAAAGATATGTCCCCATTGAAACAGAGCCTTGTTTTTTCTTATAGGAGAGAATGATTTCCAGAACACATATGGAAGGCCTTAGCTTATCTTTAGCGCCTTATACACCCGTTTTGGACCAGAAAGGCCAGTGAGAGGGATTAGACCTCAGAGATAGGATGTCAGTCCCTATGAAGGATGGCCTAGAGAATTCGTTAATTTTTTTCTTTGGGTCACACATAAGAAACAATTTTCCAGCACTAATGAGTGTTATTAACAATGAGACAGGATAGCATTTTGTTTTCCCTATGGCTGTGCTTAAAAAATAGGAAAGCTGTCTTTTCTCTTGAATAATTGAATGAGGCTCTGGGGAGGAAAAGGTGGATTGGCAGATGTCTTAAAGGAAGCTTCTCTTTCTAGGTACTATTCTAAGGCTTAATACTTCAACTCCCTGTATTAACCTAGTTCAACTAAACAGTGATCTGAGTAATTTTATTTTTATTAAAGCTCAGATCAAAATGCCAGTCACATTGATTGAGAAAAAGCAAAGGAATCTTTGATGTGAGTGATTAAATTGATGAATTATTTTAGTCTCATTACCCTCACAGCATGAGTATCTGATCTGATAGGCCTCGTTGGAATTTTTTTGTTTGAGACAGAGTCTCCTTTTTTGTTTGAGACAGAGTCTTGCTCTGTTGCCCAGGCTGGGGTACAGTAGCATGATCTTGGCTCATTGCAAACTCTGTCTCCCTGTTTCAAGAGATTCTCATGCTTCAGCCTCCTGAGTAGCTGGGATTACACATGTGCACCACCATGCCTGGCTAATTATTTCATATCTTTAGTGGAGATGAAGTTTTGCCATGTCGGTCAGGCTGTTCTCAAACTCCTAGCCTCAAGTGATCTTCCCATCTCAGCCTCCCAAACTGCTGGGGTTACAGGCGCAAGCCACCGTGCCCGGCTAGAATTCCATAATAAAACCCTCTATGTCTATTTCTTTTTCCAAATATAATTTTCTTCCTTTCCAAACATCACCTTTTAAGAATCCAAGGATTCTTTTCAGGCACAGTGACTCATGTCTGTAATCCCACTGCTTTGCGAGGCCAAGGTAGGAAGTTCATTTGAGGCCCGGAGTTCATGACCAGGTGGGCAACATAATGAGACCTTGTCTCTACAAAATAAAAAATAAAAATAAAAGCCTGAGGAAATAATGGTGCCTCACTACCTTTCAAAGCTTTTGACCTTCATGTCAGAAAATAAATTATTTTTAGGAAAGGCATCTCAACCTTATTTACAAATGAACTCTCTATTTGTCAGGAGCAACCTCAGTAAGGATTATAGGACTTCCCAGTATGACATACAACATGAACAGTTGTTCTCCGAGCCTCCTGAAAGCAAAAGAATGAGGTTTCTTAACTCATTCTCCCTCAGCATCTTCTCCCACTCTCCTCCCTCCTTCTCAGCAGCTGTGTGCAGCAATGCGCTATGCAACTGGGTTACACTGGTGCCTGGTGGAACTTTTAATTCCTCCCTGTCAGCACGTTCCCTAGTCCACTTTCATAGTTCGGATAAGGACTGGATAAGCAGCTGAACCCCTGGGGACTTTTCCAAATGAAATTCAACCTCTAGACCTTTGAGGGTTTACCCAGTCTTCCTCACTACCCAAAGATGAGTTTGGAACGAATTTTCTCTTAATGGATTCTATTTGTGGGTAGAAGAGGTAATGACTCCCTTGCTCAGAGTCATGAGCATAACTTCAAATAAGGAAAAAGAACCACGCAGGAATGTGAGAATGGATGCGACCCTGAGGAAGGTGTGCTTGAGGAGGTGCTGGGAGGTTCTGATCGGCTGTTGAAGGGAGATACCGTATCTCACGTGACAGAAGTCGCCTCCTGACATCAGAGTTGTGTTTGAGTGGCAATTTTAAAAAATAATACAGCTGACAAGGAAATATGGAAGGCATTACTTTGCAATACAGTGAAATGAATATACAACATTCAAGAATAATTACCGGGTACTGATTAGCTGGGAGAAAGGCAATAAAACTTTAAAAATAGAATTTGTAGAAATAGCACCCTGTCAAGGTGGGACTATGCCTCCTGCTGGTTTGTTGCAAAGAATTCGTTTTTGGGAAAATCCTGTTGAATTGTATGACTTGTGAATCTGGCTCTAAAACTGTTAATGTTACAAGAATTGAAAGAGAACTATCTAAAAATACCAAGACATCTTTTAAAATTCCCTTTTTTAGCACAGCTACTTTTCATTAACATAAGTTATTCAATTCTTCTTCTTTTTTTTTTTTTTGAGACAAAGTCTTGCTCTGTCACCCAGGCTGGGGTGCTGTGTTGTGATCTCGGCTCACTGCAATCTCCACTTTCCAGGTTCCAGCGATTCACCTGTCTCAGCCTCCCAAGTAGCTGGGACTACAGACGTGTGCCACCACATCCAGCTAATTTTTGTATTTTTAGTAGAGACAGGGTTTCACTATGTTGGCCAGGCTGGTTTTGAACTCCCAACTTTGTGATCTACCAGCCTCAGTCTCCCAAAGTGCTGGGGTTACTGGCGTGAGCCACCGCGCTCGGCTAAATCATTCCATTTCTGTTTATTGAGGTTACTGTTTTCACAGCAGGTCCAGGGCTCTGGTGAAGTCTAGGAGGTGCCCAGGCCCCTTCAGTGTAGTCATGGTTCAGTTTCATGCCACATGTTTTATTTAATAAATGGTTAGGCTCCAGATACACATGTAAACATGGTGTATCTCCATGTATTGGTTTTGGTAATGCTGTAAACAAGGGGAGAATACATTAAAATTTGGTAATAATGCTCCTTTACACTCAGTCTATTCTTTTAAGATGAAATGTGTTTCCCATAACAGAAAAATGTAACCACCATCTTCTTCAGCGGGAGGGAACATAGCTTGTACAATCAGTGAGGTCATCAACAGCTGTAAGATTTATCTGACCCTGAGGAAGGCTATAGTCTAGTGAGGAATGAATACAACATGTGTAGATGGCAGGCGAACTTGTTGTGCATGGTGGCATAAGGGAAGTGCCAAATGTGTAATACTGATGAGTGGTACTCCAGGAAGAGCAAATGGTTAGTAGGGCAGATAGGTGGATAAGCAATGGGACTTGGACCGAGGCTTGAACAGAAGGCCGAGTATTAAGAGGAGTAGGGAAAATGATTCTGGTGGTGGGGTAGGTTTTATTTTTGTTTGCAATGATTAATCTCTGTCTTTTCCTATAAGAAGGTTATATGCTCTTACTAGTTACAATGTAATTTGTAATGCTTAGTTATAGCAGAAGAGTATTTAATTGGCTCATTCATGTTGAGCTTGCCTATGTGACTTGATCTGACCAATGAAATATGAGTGAATCCTGATATATGTCATATCAGAGTGGAAGCTTTAAATGTGCCTGCATGTTTTGCTTCTGCCCTCTCCATGACTATAGTATGTCCCAGCTAGCGGCAGGCTCTGGAATGTGGGTTTCAGAATACAGCAGTGCATAGCACAGAGTTGGAACCTGGAACAGGGCTCAAGCCCACTAAAAAGATACACATAACTTGAATAAGAAATAAACATGTGTTGTTGTTTCCATTGAGATTTTCAGGGCCGTGACTGCAGCATGGCTGACTCATACAGGAGGGGAACACAACCTGAGCAAATGTGTGGGGACACAAAACTACATGTCTGAGAGACAGTAAAACAAGTATCTAATTTGGCTCAGGCTAGGGCTTTGTGTAGGAGACGAATATAAAAAAGAGGTTGTGCCTATTATGAAAGCCTTGAATAGCTGATTAAGAACATTGACCTTAATCTATAGGCAGTGGGAAAACACTGTGGATTTTTTAGCACACAGATAAAGGAACAAAGGGAGAATTGAAGAATATCTGTTCAATACCAGTGTTAGGATAAAGTTGAAGGTGTGAAAGAAACCAGTTAGGAGCCGTGTGTTCTTTTTTT